GTAAGGTTGCAATTGTAATGTACAAACTTAAGAAAGGAAGAGGGGCAGGATCTTGGTGGTAGAGTATATGTGATGAAACGCTATAGGTTGAGAAACCACCCATAAAAGACTGGATTGTGATGAAAGAATTGTTACAACGACGATTTTTTCCTAGAGACCATATGTAAGCCTTGTACCGTCAGTTTTTAGATTGTATGCACGGAAGTCGTTTAGTGGCTACCTATACTAAGGAGCTCTTGAGGCTACAATCTTGTTGTGATGTAATGGAGGCTGATGATTATCAGATCGCGCAATTTGTAAGGAGATTAAAGTACAAGATTCAAGATAAGATAACAATTCAGCCCACTCATTCATTAATAGAAGGCAAGGAGATAGCATTCCGAACAGAATCCTTACTTACACGACAAACATTGTGTCCTCACCATTTAGGAGAAATTCAGATAATATAGTCTATCCCAGTCTGCGGTTGAACCATCTACAATCAACAATGCAGTAGAACCAAAACGGGCATTAATCGGAGATAGGTCAACTGGTCAAGCAATAAACAATCTATATGCAAATCAACTGTTGGAAAATGTTACAAGTGTGGAAAGGTCGGACATAAATCGAATGAATGTCCTGAACAAAGGCTAGTGCAAGTGGTAGTTATAATTAATGAAGAACGTGAGGGTCACGAAGAAGATGATGAGGAATACACGGATGAAATATGTTGAGAAGAATAAGGAGATTTTGTTTGTATAGTGCAGAAAATCTTATGTTTGCCCAAGTAGGAAAAGTCAACTCAACGTAGGCAAATCTTTCAAGCCAAGTGTCGAGTCATTGATGTTGTTTGCAGTCTAATCATAAATAGTTGCAGTTGTGAAAATATGATTTCCAAGAAGCTGGTGGATCATCTGAAACTGCCAACTGATTCACACATCCGCTCCTTGTCAAATTGGTTAGATTAAAAAGGTACGTCTATTCAGATGACTCGAATTTGTAAGGTACATTTGTCTATGGAGACCTTTACAAATTAGAAGTTAATCATGATGTTGTTGAGATGGATGTATGTCATATTTTATTGGGCAAACCGTGGCAAATTTATGTGAATGATGTACATAAGGATAGAGAGAATATCTACAAGTTTAAGTGGAAGAGAAAGTTCTAAAGTGAAAGGGAAAGTTTTCGTGGCTATTACAAATTTAGTTAGTGAGTTTTTCTTCGATGAGCCTGTCTATCCTTACGACAATTTAGGGTCAAGTTGTTCTGGTGTGGAAGGGAATGTTGCGGAGCAGTTAGAAGAAAAAAAACATAAATAATTGGAAAAAAGAATAATTAAAGAAAATATACAAAAAAATGCGCAACTTTTAGTTCGAGTTTCAGATTTTCGTCCGCAAGTACAATTAGAAATATCTTTCAATTCTGCACAACTTCTCGGGTGACATGCCAAATTTTCCTGGTCAAATTTCGTTGTTTAAGGGTCCGTTTTATCCTCTATATTTTTTTTAGTTAGTTTTAAGAGTTTTTCGTCATTTTAATAGTTTTTAAGTTTTAGTTGGATTTGTTTTTTGTTTTCTAGTTTATTTGGATTTGTCTATAGAATTAGGGTTTCACTTTAGTTAGAATTTGTTTTGAGTATATAAATATGTGTTAAGGTTATAAAAACGTCAAGACTTATTTTTATTGATTAATAAGATATTTCAGTTTGATTATTACTTGGTGGATTCCAATATTTATTTGGTGGATTCCAAATAGTTATCACATACATTCGAGCAAAATTCGAGCAAATATCCATTCGAGTGTTACGAATAAGAACTCATTATTATTATTATTATTATTATTATTATTATTATTATTATTAATGTTTCCGTTTTGCTTTATTTTTCTTATTTTTTAAACACGCATTCTCAAAAAAATGTCAAATCAAGAGGGTACACCCGCCGTAGATTTCGTCTTGGTAAAGGATCATAATAAAAACCAATTTTCCAATTTTACCCGCATTTCCTTGTTTTAATTAATTTATTGGTTAGGAGAGTGTTAGGGGCAATAGAGGAAAAATAAAAAGTTTTAAGAGAATCTTTTGATAGGCTATAGTCATTTCTTTGTCAGAAATAGTAGAAAGTGAATGCAAGAAACTACTGTGCAACGATCCGAAATTGTCTAAAAATATACCTAAAATGAGCTTCAAACAGGGGCTAGTAGAATACGTACAATCAAACATTATCCATTTAATAATGAAACACTAATTAAAGCAAGCAATTATGAATTGTTTGTAAATGCAATCTATGCCGAATATTAATTTTAGTTATAGTTATACATTCATAATTACTTTTTATTATTATTCACACATTTCATGGAATTCATTACTATTCCTTTTAATTTCGAATTTCCTTGTTACCAAACAAAGACTAAGATGTATAAAAAAAAATGATTTCGACATAATAAAAAATAAGTAACTATAAAGTAAAAGGGAATAGCTTATTTTCTTAGTTGTGCCATCCTTCATTGTCCAAAGCATTGTTCTAAAATGCATAAAGTATGGTTAGACGTGAAAGCAAAGTTTCAAGCTTTACGACTTTAAGCTAGCTTATACGAGGCTTGGGCGTAAAAAAATATTTTCTTATTTTTAATTTTTAATTATTTTAAAAATTATTTAATAATTAAAATGATGCATATCAAACATATAAAATTATAAAATACTGTGTTTACTTAATAATTTCTACCATTAGTCAATTATATAATTTTCAAATTTTCGAAATGCAAAAATGAGAATATTTTACATATTTTCAACTAGACAAGTCCTACTTAATGGATTTATAGAAACTTTATGCACGTTTTTAGAGTTTGCAACAAAATAACAAGTCTCGATATCATAATTACATAATGTAGATAGTATTATAATTTAAATCTTATATAACTATTTAGATGAAGTCATTTTCAATTTTTGTATAGATAAAATCTTTTAAAACCTTGAAATTAAAGTTATATGAAAAGTTCAAAAAAAAAAAATTTAATAAGCCAAAGTCAAATAAAAGACTTTTAGAAAAACAAAAAATGTAAAATGTAATAAAGCGCTCATAGGGAAGACCAAAGTGAAGAAGGAAAAAAATTAGCCGTTTAGAAATTGAAAAAAAAAAAAAAAAAGTTTAGGCGCAAAGCAAGACGTTTAGCACGGTTTGAGCCTCAACGAACTTTTTAGAACACTGGTCCAAAGTATTTTAAGAAAAAGAAGAAATGTAAATTTCATTTTTGTTTCCGTTTCTCCTTTTTTTTTTTTCCTTTTTTTAGTTAAAAGAATGTGATCATCTTCAAAATTAAAATCTACCCTCAAATGAACTAAACTTGACAAGTTAATGGTTAAAATATCGAAATTCATCATTGAGGACTCAAACATTAGGAGAATCAAAAGGTTGAGGATCAAAATATCGTGAACAAGTAGTTGATATCGAGTAAGCATGTTTGCATTTTCAAAATAAGTAAAATTTACCATTCATGCTTTATATACAATTTTTTTTTTTACTTAAAAAGTATTAACTTTTTTGTTGGGAAATTACAGCAATATTTTGACACCAAAGTTCACTGCATAACAGAGTTCATAAGGCTTACTTTATCAATGACAGTTCAATACCCAATCTCTTAACCAGCATACAATAATGTAATCCAAACTTATACTCATAGCATTTACAGGATATAGAAATCAGCAGGACACAATCAACCATAAATCGAAACTTAGAACTGAACAATCAGAACTTGAATAAAACATGTAAATGGACAGAAAAGCAAAAGGATTAAAAGAAGACGGAAAACTTCCCTTCTTCGGTGGTTCTTCCCCTGCGTTTTTGGCTGAAACGATTAGGCTCAGGAACAACCCCTTCACGCCTTGCAATCGCCGTCCAGAGAGATGTAAGAACCAACCAATGTCTCCAACAACTTGGTTAAAGTCATTGATTCAAAGGAATCTACCAAACCAGCCAAGAACAGCCCCTAAAATCTGACCTAAGCCCTTGAGAATGAACCAACAATTAGCCACTCTTACAGGCCTAAGAGTACACAGGTTTATCTCCCACCAATAGGCTAACCAAGGTCAATTTTAGGGCACACACATGGAAGAAGAAGAAAGGGGAAGAACAGAGAGAACGGAGTCGTCTTGAAGAAGGAAGCAAAAGGGTTGAGTCTCAAGGAAGCTATCCCACGTGAATATAAAGAAAAGGTTAGACCATCTCAGTCCATTATCTCCATCAAATGGTAAAACATAGAAGCCGACCCAATTAAGTGTTAAAGAGAACCACTTAATTGGCCCAATAAGCCCACATTTTTTTTTTTCAAACCACTATAGTTACTTTTACCTTTGTGGCTTATGTATTTACAACTTCAACAGTTAAAAAATTATTTATTTTATAGTAAACTTATTTCAGTAAACATTCAAGTTTAGCCTAGCATTGGCTGCTCTACATGACTGGTGGCAGACAAGGAAGAGCAAGATATATTAAGATTTTTTCAGCATGTAATTGTTTTCTCGTAAGAAAATGGTGATAAATACTTTTATTATTATTTCCTCTACCTAATCATGTCGCATTGCATTGGCCCTACACGGGATTAATTAAAGAATTGGTCGCCTATATATATTATTTATTCAATTCAACACGACATACAGGGATTAAATAAAGAAATAATTAATTCATTGATCTGATAATATATTATTCAATCAAGAAACCAGCGGAGACCTTTTTTTTTAAACTCAAAAACAGGAAATATAATTAAGACGAAATGTGTAAAGACTTTATTGAACATGATGAGAGAAATATTTAAATAAATAAATGTCTTTTGGTTATTAAATTAGCTTAAACTTTTATACAACTAGTTTTACATAAAAATATTTTCATACATTATTAATGAATAAATATTCAGGACCATGGCAATGCATATACTTTTATCTCGACTATTTTTATAAATTCTTCTTAATAAACCCTTTATTTCTTCAATATTGGAGAGGAAATCCATTTCTCAACTGATCTCTAATAATGGCTACCAAAATCACTGGCACGCCATCAATCTGCCTCTTCAGCAGCCATGGTAGAAATTGCCAATACTTGCATTTTCCGAATTTCTGTTCATTCAACCTCGCTGTGGTTAAGGGCCAATGCAAGATCAAGAACCCTAATCATTTCTTCAAGTTTGGAGCTAAATATGGGATTTATAAGTAAGTCTTCTTCTTTACAAACCTCTTTAAGTTGCTGTTTGTTTGTTTGTTGTTTTGTTGTCTGAAAGTGAAAAAGTTTCTTGAAGTAATTGACTTGTGCGCAGAAGGAGCAAATTTCAACTAAAAGCCTCAGCAGATTCTGGAGGTTCTCCTTCCTGTTCATGGTAATCTTTTTGTTGAAGACTATATTAAACGTATATATGTGTCAACTCTTTAATATCTTTAAGCTTTTAAACGAGACAAATTAATATGATATATTCAAGTCTCGCCATGTGTTGGCCTTCGATAAAAAAAATGTTAATTCGACAAAACTAATAAATTTATCTCCTCTATAACTGTATAAGTTTTCAGAGGAGGCAATTTGAGAATTTTTAATTTGGAGGAAAAAAATTATTTTGGATATATTGCTAATTTTGATTCTTCCTTTTTGTCTCTGATGAAGGAAAAAGTGGTTGTTGGGGCTGCTGCTAACAGTGATTCTTCCTGCCATGGGACATAAAGGGGGGCTATTTGTAGGCCTTAAAAGTTAGAATATATTAAGGTTTTGTTATTGGCTTCTGTAACAGCAGCTTATAATTTTAATGGTACTAATGTTGAGGTGTTGAATATTTTAGGTAAGATAGCTGCAGCTTTGAAGACGGTGGAGACAGTAACAGAGATTGTGGAAGAGGTGGCGGAGGAGGTGGAGAAGGTGGTGGAGGAGGTGGAGGAGAAGCTTCCACAGGATTCAAAGCTCAAGGAAGCTCTAGAATCCGTCGAGAATCTGGCCAAGAAAGCTGTCAAGGAGGCTAAACAAGCCGAAGAACTTGTTCACAAGGTAACCAAGCTCTTTTCTGATAGAACCATCTCGTACAGTCCGGGTTGGTTTCTATACACGATGACACTCTTTTTTTTTAGGTAACCTAACTCTTGTTGATCTGTGTGTCAAATTCGTTTTTTTTTTTTAACTTTGGAGACTTCTCTCTTTGGCCTTTGCTTCGATTTAAACTCTTGTTCACTGGATTTTCATCGAGTCTATTGTTCCGTAAAGATTACCTATCAGCATAAAAGGAGAGGAATAAACTCACAACTAAGATTCCTCCCATCTAGCTACCCCAAATCGACAAATCATAGAGCTAATTATAATGTACAAATTCAAGAAACTTAACTCAACAACTTAGTCGCACTACTTAAAAATAAATCAAGAAAAAGATGACTTTTATAATTGAGACACGCCCTGCATAGACTTTAATGTGGCGTAAAATAAGGAATTCAAACGAAAATCTTAAGGGCACAATTTTGGAATCCACCAAATTAAAGAAAAAATAAAATCACGAAATTTTATTAATGTAAGATGATAAAAAACGATGATTTATCCCTTTATTTATAAGAGTTTACATGAAATCTTAGTTTAAACAAACTAAAATTACAAAGAATTCAAAATAAAAATAGCAATAAAATTTTAGAAGCAGTTTTCTAGTCCCAAACGAACCCGAATGGTCAAAATCCATCATATATCACATCATTGATGTGTGATCTATTCATCTCATCGTTCTCTTTCATAAATGATATTATAAGCCCAAATTGGAGCTCGACTGTCACATCTGCACTATTGCCTTTTTTTTCCTTTTTCGATCCAATTTTTTTTCAATCCATTTAATCATCTATCGTACATCAGACTTAAAGAAAATTTTATTCTTAGCAATGTCTCCTCACTATATCATATCATACAAAGAACGAATAGATCAAATTATCAAAACTAATGTAGATCTAGTTTATTGGAATTATCGAATAAATATAATAGAATTGTGAGAGAAAAGATCCACATAGCCATCCCGAATTTCTTGAGAAAAAAGTTTAGTTTTTCCATCTTTTTTTCTTTTATTATTTGTTGAGATCCGGGTAGTTGGTGACTGGGTGGGAAGATCTGAAATAATGGTAGTCTGGTGATTGATATAGACATGCCAAGTGAGAATGACATGGGATGAGTTATCTCAAATCTCCATCAATCTTATTGAAATGCAAAGCGTGGCTTAATCGATATAAAATATATGATATTTTGAATATTTTTTTTTTCTCTATACATTCGATTTATTGCTACGTTTATTTTTATAAATACAGGTACAGAATGTCGAGGAGACTATAGAGGGGACAATAGAGGGGGTATTGATGAAAGCTGACACAGATGAAACAAAGTTGAACGGCCAAAAGACAAGCTCCAAGGACCAAGATCCAACTGCCAAATTATAGTTAATGAGTTTTTTTGTTTTTTTCCCCCATCTTGTTCCTTTTTTTTTTAAGTTTTGGATCATAATGAATAAGCAATAGTTAATGAGTTTATGGGTTATTATTTTTTTTTTTTAAGTTCTGGTTCATAATGAATAAGTAATAGTTAATGAGTTTATGAATTGTTTTTTATAATTTTTCTTCCTTTTTTTTTTTTGTTAGTTTTGGTTCATAATTAATAAGTAGCCCCAGAGCCCAGAAAGTTTCAGTCGGAACCCGGATGGGGGCGGAATCCCATCCGAGCACGGATGGAACAGGAAAATCCTTGACAGTTAGGGATGGGGAATGGGGTCCTCACTTCGAACGGTCTCGTTGTCATTCCTAACTCTGTAGCTTTGATTGATCAACTCATTATAGCTATGTTCCACTTAAATTTATTGTCCTCATCCTCACTCCTTAATAAATGTTAATTTTTTCTCAAAATGGTCCTCTAGTGATAGTCTTGGTAAAGATAGTCTACTATGAAATGGGTAATTATATTCCTACCACAGTTTTTATTTCGTGCTCCACTTTAAGCCCCCGTTTGGCACCCATTTTTTTTTCATTCTCATTCTCATTCTTTTTCTCTTTCTTCATTTCCACCACACATTCTATCAATAAAATAATATTACACATAAACCTAAAAATTCTCCTTACTTTTTAACCACACATTCTTCCATCAATCACTATTCAAGAACACATTCTTTCACAAAAATGGGTTTATTCACATTCTCATTTTTTTCTCTTTCTTCATTTCAACCACACATTTTATCAATAAAATAATATTACACATAAACCTAAAAATTCTCCTTACTTTTTAACCACACATTCTTCCATCAATCACTATTCAAAAACTAATTTTTCTACTAAAATGGGTGTCAAACACCCCCTAAATTGCATTTAAGGTTCTTAATTTTAATTACTAGAAAATGAGGCAATAGAGACAGAATTTTACAGACGGACGACTTCTATTGTTATTACCAACGAAAATTACAATAAATGTGCGTTTGATTGTCAATATTTTTCATGAAAATGTGTTTTTTCAACATAATTTTCTCCTTGTGTTGTTTGATTGATAATTTTTTTTTATGAAAAATATTTTCCTACTTTTGGTCACGTGACAATATTTTCCTTGAAAACAAGAAAAATATTTTCTTTAGGGAAAGATGGTTTTTATTTTTCAAGTAATTCACTCTTATCTATCCACCAATAAAAAATAGACAAGTAAAATATTTTTTAGGTTGAAAATTAAATTAATCAAACACATTTAATTAATAATTTTCATACAAATAAGTTCTAGGCAATTAAATTGTTTGAAATTTATTTTAATTCCATACAAATTCCATACTTGCAATCAAAACTACCCTAAGTGTACATACATGTACCGCTTTTTCTTTAGGAAAAGATGGTTTTTATTTTTCAAGTAATTCACTCTCATCTATCCACCAATAAAAAATGGACAAGTAAAATATTTTTTAGGTTGAAAATTAAATCAATCAAACACATTTAATTAATAATTTTCATCCAAATAAATTATAGACAATTGAATTGTCCAGAATTTATTTTCATTCCTTACAAATTTCATACTTGCAATCAAACGCACCTTAAATTAACAACGGATTATTATTAAAAATTAAATACTAAATTAATGACAAAATTGCTAACGGAATACTTTCATTGGTACAATTTCGTTACTAATCCGTCGGTAAAGATTTTAATATAAAAAAAAAAGAATAATTTAGTGACAAAATTTCCCAACAAATGTTCCTTTGGAATCAATATAAAAGAGTAAAATAATTACCGGCAAAAAAATCTGTTGGCAAAACATTGAAAGTAAAATTCTAAAAGTATTAAGTAATAAATTTAGTCTACATTTCATTTCCCACACACAAAAAATTTCATTCCCTCTTAGAATTTTACTAATTAGTTACGAAAATAATCTTCGGTGTATATTGACGGAATTTTTTTATCGCTAATTTACCGACGGTCATGAATTCCGTAGGTAAATTAGTGGCGCCATTTCAGAGTCAAACTTACTGACAAAGAATTTTTGTCGGAAAAATATATTACCAACGGAATTTAAGGCATCAATGACGAAATTTTCCATCTCTGAAGCCGCAAGTTTTTGTAGTGTTTTACTTGTTATAACACTATGCCCCCAACGCCCAATCACCAATGCTCGCCCGCTATTGAGTCTCTACAGTATTGAGCATCAACTCCCCCGTTCTCTAGAACAGGAAGGAGGTACGGAAGAAGATGGGTAAGGAAGAAGATGATAGGGAAGTATTTTTTGAAATTTCAAGTAGACCATGTGCACATAAAATTAAAAGTTGAACGTGCATAGAGATTCATCGTAATGATATGCCGTTTGCTTTTGAAAAAAAAAAAATTTAAAAGAAATAAAATAATGATTATCTCAGAGAAACTTAAAAACATATTATTATCCCTGTAATATTTAAATAGTTAAATAACTCTCTGTGGCTTCGAAATTCATACAAAATATCCTAAAATAAAGTGGTAATCAGCATATTTTTACTTGTCACCAATAATGGCAAGCTTTTCAAAATTAGAAAGTATCAACGCCTTAAAATTTATATACTTTTCTTATTTTTTATACTTATGTAGAAGAGGAAATGTTTAATTCTTGACCAGATTTATTTTGGGTCAAGTCGACCTTCCACCTGCCCAACCTAACCAAAACCATATTCGACATAGAGATTTAACATCAACGACATTCAAAATTTAAGCGCTGGAATTGAGCAACGAAGTCGCAAAGTTTCTCAGATGAAGAAATGAGCTCGAGAGATACAATTTGGATTTCCTAGTTGTGTGGAAAGCTTCAGAGACTTAGTCCTTGCATGACAGTGATAATTTTGTTTTCCTCACTCATTTTCAATATTACATTCTCCAAAAGAATCATTTTTCGCGTTGTTCTATAACTTATTTCCTACTTTTTGAACACATATTTTTCAAAAAATCGTTCCACACGAGCTCTTAACAAGGCTAGCATAGAAATATCTTGAGAAAATGATTCGCCCCTGTTTGATCCAAAATTTTCGTTCTCATTCTTCTACTCATTTTCAACTACACATTCTTCAATAAAATAATATTTTCCATCACATCAGTAACTTTTCCTTTTTTTTTTCAACCACACATTCTCCATTAATTTACTATTCAAAAATACATTTTTCCAAAATAATGAGCCTCAAACACACCCGAAAATAAAGCCCTTTAACAGGGGTGTAATTACAAAACTCAAATAAGATTTGATCCCTAACGGATTGCTGTACAGTGAAATCAATCAAAACTCGCCAAGAATTGGTTAGAACTCAATAATCCATCAATTGAACTACCCCTAAACTTTGATGATCAAGTCAAATTTTATTCACTTTGACAACAGTATTTTTCGATTATAAATTAACCCCACCCATGGATGAATTTTAACAATTGCCTCGAGGCTTCTCAAAATTTTGTTCTTTGCTTTAAGATAAAGTTGGAGGCATTGCCTTTCTTTCCTTCCAATAGAATCCATCAACTAACTTGTGAAGTGAAATATGTTTTGCTTATTCCCGCAAGATAAGGATTTTTCCTTATTCAATATATGAATCCAACTTACCCACTCAATCCCAAAATAGGGAAAATTGCACTTTTGGTCCCCTAATCTATTGCTTATTCTCACAAGAGAAGGATTTTTCCTCTTTCCTTAAATACAAATATGAATCCAACTTACCCACATAAAACCCAAATACAGAAATTGCACTGCTGGTCCCCAATCTACATAACATCCACTGGGACATATGATGCTACAAAGTTAATAGGTTAGAAAAGACAATGCTAAAAAAAAAGGGGTCGAGAACCAACTTATTACATTGCTAATAAGTCAGGGACTGATGGTGCAATATTCCCCCTAATCCCTATTCATTTCTTGCATAATGGTCTCTACCTATCTTCTTGATCCTATAATAATAAAACTCAATTGGACAACTCTCTTATTCAACGCTATCTATCACCAACTAACAATATTGATGGACAGACACAATTAGCTAACCACCAAGAATTTGTCTATAGAACAGAAATGGCTGGATGGCTACCAGCAAACCACAAGTCAAAAAGAACCGATATCGATATGGGTTTCACCTTTTCCTACAAATCTGGCCTAGATCTTATGCAAAACTGCGACTTGCCTCCTCCATTCAAGCTTTTTGCTGGCCCGGTGAACAAAATCTGCAAGGTAGCGGGGCAGGAAGTGGCTGAGGATGAAGTTGTGATGTCTAAAGATTCAGAAGATGGGAAGTTGGAGATTCTAAAGGCCTTGAGACTATCACAAACACGAGCACGGGAGGCAGAGAGGAAATGTTCGGTTCTGTTAAAGGAGAGGGATGCCATCTCCAATTTACTGCTAGACGAATCATTGAGATTGTTCGCCTATAAGCAATGGATTAGATTGCTGGAGTTTCAAGTTTCCATGTTGGAAAGACAAAAGAGAACTGAGTGCGCGAAGAGTGATTCTTGCAGTATGAAACAGTATGCTTCTGTAGCATTTTGTTTGGCTATTGCCGGAATGGGTTTCGCAATTGGTTGCAGTCATATATTCTAATCTGTTTTCCCTGTAGCAATCTTGTTCAGTTTTCTCATGCAACAGATTGATTGCACACTTCAGACATTGTGCTAAAAATAGATACAGAATAAGAGATGCTCTTATCTGACTAGCATTCTGCTAATTCAAAATTCACTGTAAATTCCCAAAACATGTAGATTCAGATGCTCTTTTCATCGACCTGTGCAAGGCACAGTATATTTCATTGCATAAATGAAAATATCCAAGAAAATGAAGAAAAATTTAGCAATTTTGATACCCTTCAAATCCACAATTCCCTTTTTTTTTTTTTCTTTTTAACAGGAACTTAAGCGCACACAGGAGAGCTCAAGCAGAGGTACTCGACTATGCACATACCAATTCACTCGCATTAGCAAACAAATATATACATCGTATGCACATCTTCATGCATTAGGAGATGTGTGCACCTGCACATGGGCACAGAAAGTGAGAGGATTTCAGAAAAATATTTTAACTGCATTCTCGAAACACATTTACAGAAGCAACAACCTGGGTTTATTCTACTCTACAAGTCAAGCGTATGCTATTATAGATATTAACACGAGCATATACATATATAAGATGGTGAGTACGAAAGATAATGAACTATAGTTAATCACACGATGGCCCCGTGTACAGACCTCAGATGACCATAGCAATCATCACTGCTCCCATAACACTCCAAACAGACCCAGCAAATGTGTCTCCCGCACCTACACTCGACATGATTGCACCCCTCCACCTTCTCAATCGTGAAACCACAGCATGGGCACTTCTTCACATTCTCTCTCCCGTTACACCATTCCTTCAGAGAAGAATCAGGGTCGTCTTTGAACTCCTGATACTTCTCGCATGACACGTATGGATGATACTCCATGTGGCACCGTGTACATGTCTCCACTAAACACAAACCGCAGGCAAATAGTTCGCTTGAAGTACCACGATCTGCCACTCGATAAACTGATGGACAGTCAGGTGAAGGACAAAATCTATAAGCGCCCCCACTCCCTGCCACAAATGCACCCAGGGATGCCCTGAAAAGTTCCTCCAACTTCTCACTAGACAATAAAGACCTCAAGTCTGTAAGCAGAATCAGAGCCCCACAGCCGTTACGTGTACAGACTAAGGGGAAACTGTCTTGACTTCTTATAGCAGACTCACACTGATCTACTAAGCATAACCGACAGAACTCGTGTGTACAGCCTTCGAGCCTGTAACCATCTTCCACTTCACACAAGCAAATCGGACAGGCAAAATCGTCGTCATTTCCTTGACTTTGTAGACTAGTTTGTGCGATATCATGAATTATGCCTTCAACTTTTTGCTTCAATTCTTTGGTCCCAACCATAGATATGCAATGGCGTCTGGCATTTAAAGAGAACTCTGCCTCGGGAACATTTTCTTTAAGCCCGTGAAGGTCTGATCCAAAATTCTGAACTAATCTCTTCATCATATCAGGAGGTAGAAGTCCACCACGAAGTTGGATCTCAAGTTTCTTACTATCATGGAGAGCAAGAAGGGATTTGACCAGCCTCTGCTGTGCAACATCAATCTTGTCTGCAGACCCAAACACCCTGATAATTAGGCTATGCTTGTCAAATAGTATATAGGTTCCTGTATCTCGCTGAATTGATTTCAAAAGCATAACACCATCTCGTGAAAAGAGATGCTGTATAACTGCAGGAGTAATATCAGCATGTTGTAAGATCGTCCCGTTCATGAGCTGCTCCAGAGGTCTTCTCAATTCAACCAAAACTTTTGTAGCACTGGCAGATATCTTTACTCGATAAGAACCATTCTGGTTCCTCTCTAGGTTACATTCGGCACCTGCAAATAAGCAAGTTCATTGACTTCATCTGCAATGGGAGACTAAGATGAACAAACCACAAAAACAAAAATTAACCAGAAAAGCCAATCTGCAACTATACTAATTACACTATTTTGCTATTAAATATATGCTAAGTGGCCACGATGTCTGTTCTATAGGAAGAGAAGGCATCCATTGCTCTCCTTTTTCTTCCGGAAAATTGTAAAAATAATATAAAACCTATCTCCATGATAAGATGTAAAAATAGGGCCCAACTAAGAAGGGTGAAAATAATAAAACCTATTCTATTTTAAGATAACTTTAAACTTCTGGAATGAACACCCTACTCAATTGTGATAATATAGAACCCATCCAGATTCCAGGGAATGGAGTATAAAAGGACTCAAAATCATACCAGGGAAAAGCTTTATGACAAAGAGCAACAATTTAGCCAGCAGAACACTATGCCCCTCTTTGGGCTCCATTTTTCCAAAAAATACATTTTTCCAAAACTTATTTTCAACCACGCATTCTCTCATAAAATAATGTTACACGTAAATCCAAAACTTTTCCTTATTTTTTAACCACACATTTCCCAAAAAAATAACTATTCCAAAACAAGTTTTCCCAAAAAAACTCATTTTAATGGAGCCCAAACAGGCGCTATGTATTCAATTTAACGTTCTTCAAAATATTAAAGTTTAGACCACAAAAAGATACATTCCATACAAAGGAAACACTACGCATATTCATGTCAAATCATAATGCCTTTTGAAAGAACAATACGAACACCGTTCATTCCATTTCTTCTCATAAATGAATGCTTGAGCAGAAGGTTTGATGTCAACCTTGTGCTGAAAGTAACAGAATAAACATAACTGAACATCAAAAGAAAACAAACAAACAGAAAATCTGTACAATAAAAGACATTGATTCGGGGTCATATAATGTGATCGGCTTATTGTTACTTACAAAGCAACAGTTAAGAGTGCATTGAATGTGCCTAATAAATTTAGACTACACCAAAACCATTTTTGGAAAATGTTCCCTGTTTTGGTCATCATTTACTTATTTCTCTAGAATCTCTCTCCGGTTAAAAAAAAAAAATCTTGAAACAAGCATATAACTTAAATAAAACAGAAGTATAACATACTATGGAACAGTCAAAAACTGGGGTAAAACGTACTAGGGAAGACCTTCAGATATAATGAAGTAGCGACCTATAAACAGATCAATAAACACATTACTTGAGACAAGGCATTTTCTTTGTAACAGGTAAGACGGCTAAAAAATGATTGTACTGGTGATAAAGGGAAAAAAATCAGATAAATAATTACCCTTTCGCCGCTGAACCCTTGAAAGTAAAGAATCCAGCTGTTTCTCGATAACAAGATAGACAGGTGCAGGACAGGATACAGAGCTATGAAACAGTTGCTGGCATCTTATCCTCTGCCAGGAAAGACATCCAGGCAATACTTTCCCAGCAATTTGCTCCAAAGCCTTCGCTGCCTCCAAATGTAAATTTCCGTCAAATGTAATTAAGGCTCTCATGCAACTATCCTTTGGTTCTGGTTGGTAGACCTGAACGCAGACAGAGTTACCCTGTAGGCCCCTTCTAGGCATAAAGGGGGAAATTTCTCGCAGAATTGCTTCCTGACAAACCAGGATTGGAGGATCATCCACAGCATCTCCTCTCAATAAAAAGAAGTCCAGGATCTGTTTGCTTGTTGCTGCATTTAGCACCTCAAATATATCATCTTCAGAGAGTTCCTTATCCAGTCCCTTAATCACAACGCTGTCCATATACTTCTCACCAGGTACAGACCGAACAATTTTACCTCCAATCATCAGATCGGAGAAGTCACTAACCATAAAGATGACATCCCTCGGATGACACTTCACAATTGCTACCCCTTTACTGACCCTACGAGGCCAATATATTTTTGCTTTAAAAGAGGGTAATGAAGCCGATTTGTGATCACCACCATAGGGGTTCCTTGAAGGAACTACCTTTAACAAGCCACCACCATACTCAAACTGATTTAAATCAACAGCTTTCTCAGCAGCATCAGGTGTTAAAAACGTTACCCTTCCCCACTTTCCGTTCTCCCTGCTGTCTTGGCCAATGCCTGAGAACTTGTAAATGGCACAAATATCACCTGAGGTGAATCTCTCCAAGAACATGAGGAGCTCCTTATCATGAAGGGCATCCAAATTTGAATGAAATATGTCCACAGTCAAAAATCTCTTCTCAAGCTCCAGATGTTTTATCTTGGCACCAGCTCCAAACAGAGCAACTGAAGGAAAGACCTTGGGTCCTCCCTTATACAAACATTTCTCCAAGCATTCATTCTGCAGCAACTTAATTTCATACCCCAATGCATCATTCACAGTGCTCCAAACTTTCTCCATGTCTTGAGAAGAAGCATACAAAAATATTTCATTGCTATCTACACAAACTTCAATACCTATCCGTTCATCCATACATGAAGCTCTAATGCAAGAAACAAGATGGCATACATTACTATTACATTTCCCACAGAATCTTTTTAGCACTACACTTCCGAGTCCCGGCAAAACCCTCTTCTGCAACTGCTGGCTATCCATCTTCAAGAAATCAAAAACTGGCGGAGGAGAAAGAGTAGACAAAGATTTATAGTCAATTGCAGTAACACAGACCAGATACTCATTAGATACAGAGAGAACCTCTCCAAAAACCACCCATCGTGGCCTCTGACTAAAGTTTAGTAAAGAACATGAAGGATGCAGTTGAACATGTTTCCCAGTCGATGCCACTTCATATCCAAGTTGATCATACCCAGAGTACATTGCCACATTTTCTGCAAGGGAAGAAAGAATTACATTTTTCAAAGTTTCATCATGCTCAGTAATGTGAGGATCCCAACGCCAGTAACTTGGCACAATAATATTGCATTCATGCTTAAGGCAAGCTTCCAGTTCTTGCACAGTGTCATGGCATCTCTTCATGGCCTTCGCATTAATGCTATTTTCCCAGCACCAGATATTTTTCCTTTCCTGAGGCACAGCCTCCCACTTTTTATAAACAGACAGCAAAGTGAAGAGATCCCCATTTTGGTGGCAAAATTGCACCTTAAGGCAATCAGATTTCAACTTATCTTCCTCTGTACCAATCCTGCAAAATATGCTACTAGAATTTGCCATAACTGCAGCAAGAACAAGGCCCTCAATACCTAGACGCTCATGGAAACATTTAAGGATTATTTTACCAAGACGAGGTTCAATACCCAACTTAACTAAATCCCAACCTTCTTTGGTTAATTCATGAGCATCATCTCTCACTACAACAGCTCCTAATTGAATAAGATTTCCGGTGGCCATCTCTATCGCTCTGACACTGGGTGCATCAACAAAATCAAAATCCTCCACATTCTTGATGCCTAAAGCAAGAATCCTCAGAACTGCAACACCAAGATGAACCATACGAATTTCTGGTTCCTGATGAGGCAGCATCGAAGAATAATCATCTTCTGTGTAGAGTCTATAACATGTTCCAGGCTCAGTTCTCCCAGCACGACCGGCCCGTTGATTTGCAGAGCTCTGGCTGATTCTGCAAACCCTTAAAACGTTCATGCCAGTGGCAGGATCAAATCTGCTTTCCTTCACCATTCCAGAATCAACCACATATTTGACCCCTGGAATTGTCAATGATGTCTCAGCAACGTTAGTGGTGAATATAACTTTTCTTTTTCCTGGGTAGTTCAGAAAAACTCGATGTTGGTCCTCGTAAGAAAGTTTTCCATGTAAAGGTAACACACTGGCAGACGGAGCTTGAAACATCTCACAAGCCCATTCTACTTCCATCTGAGAGGTCAAGAAGGCAAGTATTGTTCCGTCCTTCTCTGTTTTGTGGATCTCAGTCACCATCCTCACAACATCACAAACATATGACGCAATCAATCGAGGACTGAAATATCCTTCATTGCATGGGACGTATTTAATATCAACCGGATAATTTCTGCCCGCCACGTGAAAGGTTCCACAACCAAAAAAGTAGTCTGCCAACTGGTCTGCATCAGCTGTTGCAGACATAATTATAAGCCTCAAATCAGGCCTCTGACCGAGTAGATTCTTAATCATCGACAGAAGGAGATCAGTGTTCAAGCTTCTTTCATGAGCCTCATCAACAATAATGCATGAGATCCGGGATAATTGCACATCGCTCATGTAGTGTTGCAGTAGGCAGTGGTCAGTCATGAATATAACCTTACAACCGAACTCCTGAGATGACGAACATGATGAACAAAAAATAACTGAAGTGTCTTTGGAACAACCACAACTTTCCTCTTTAACCCTTTCTGCCAACGAGATGGCAGCAAGTTTACGTGGCTGAGTGCAAACAATAGACTCGTGACCAAATATTCCCGAATCAGCAAGAAACTGAACCAATTGCGTGCTCTTTCCTGAGCCAGTCTCCCCTATCAGCACTGTTATCTGTGGAAATTGATATCAAATATTTAGCCCATGTTTGAGCCCCATCATCCAAAAATTCATTTTCAACCACACATTCTAACAACAAAATAATTTGCACGTAAACCCAATTTTTTNAACTATACGAGTGCAATCCAATTAGAAATATAAAGACCAAAATGAGTGTCCACATTTGTGCTATATGTTCTACTCGTGAGCATAGCACTTACCAGGTATGCACATATGCACACACATTATGCAATATGTAAAACATGACTCAGGAAACTGTTTAAGCCTCCCTACTATGTGTTTTTCTTCTATGTGAACCATTAGGTATCACATGACAGATTCTATTCCCCCGAATATGATAGTTCAATTAAAAATATGGAAGTGCAGAGGTTCACAAAAAGTTCTATTTATCATATCTATTTTACAATAATCTACTAATAGACACCAGGTAAAACTCAATAATGCTTAGCAAAATTCAGTTGAAAATCTGTGTATAAGAACTCTTGTCAAAAAAAATAAAAAGGTTCAAGAATGAAAATAATATTTCAATTGTACAAAATAATAGAAACAAATGGATAATTATATCAATAATTCCAACTAACCATGACCACTTTTTACTTTCTTTTGATCTTTATTCTTTTCAAGAGAAAGGGGAAAAATGAATGATTAGGCTGGTAGAGTAAATATAAAGATGAAAGAACTACAAAATTCTAAATGTATTTCATATAATAATGGTCATTGAGCATCCTGCAAATAGTGCGTATTTAATGGTGCCCTAAAAGGTAGAATGCAGCCTAACAACTTTTTTTAGCTCGGTCTTCAGTTTTTCATATGCATTACGCCTTGTTTTTAACAAAATTGTAGCCTTTCTTAACAGTTCATATTCCTCTCCAAGAAATATGAGCTCCTCACTTCACAAGAATTTCTCGCATCTATCTGGACAGTACTAATTCCACTAGTATTCCAGCAGGCTTTATTATCACATAGTTACTCTCATCAATGCCTAATAGAACACATACCAAAGTCTATTCCTGAATCTTTGCCACCAAATAACAAGAGGGAGAACATAAAATCTATTGTGACATTCATATTCTGAAAAATGGAAAAATACCGAAAGTCTTTTAACAAATGAAGTTGAATTAAACTAAATTAACCTGCTGGCCGTGAATTTGTTTCAAAAGATCATGCCGATATGCATAAATTGGCAATCCTTCATCAAGCCGCCTACATTCCCTCCTTAACAGGCTGTAAATCCTTCCCCAGTCAACCTCTCCCTCTAAATGAAACACCTCTACCACCAGCTCCGTTTTCTCCTCATTCTCCAAATAATCAACAATACACCTCAGCCCACTCTTGAATTCTTCAACCCTCTTTGAGATCAAATCTCTCTCAGCCTCCAATCCTTGCTTTTTCCTCTTCAACTCTTGAAAGATTCTTAGCTGTGACGGCTTCTTCAATTTATCTGAAATCACCTTGATCTCAACCACAGCATTCTCCAGTTTCTTCGCCCATTTTTGCACCAAGTTTCCCTCCGTCAATCCCTTAATTTTGTCCAAAAATACGCTTTTTAGACGATCATTCAGCTCCTGCTTATCTGAGGCCAAATCAATATGGGACACAAGTCGAGGAATAAAACTGTGCTCATTTTTTTCTAATTTCACCTCCCATAAATCAATCATTGTTTCCAAAGCTTCATTCCACTGCTCGTAAAAGAGGGTTGCGACAAATAATTTTGATACCAAAAAATTGATTTTTTGGGGAGGGAATTTAATCTGTTGGATTAAAGCTTCAATGTCCGGTTTGTTAAGAGTACAACTGGGATCCGACCGCAACTGTATGACAAAGTTAGGGCGATTCAAGGGTGGATCCGGCGGACGATCGCGTCGGTAGTTGGGGGAGGGCAGGGTTCTCCACTGTTGCCTCTGGTAGTGATGTAAAGGTGGGCGGTGCCGGTGGTTGTCGTAGCTGTTCTGAGACGTTTGTCCGGGAAAATAATGGGTTCCCGGCGGCGGTGGAGGTCCGCCGTAACTGGCTTTGGGGTTTCTTGGTCTGTTCATTTGTACGGAGTCAGGGTTTTGCAGGAAAACGAAAAACCCTAAAGGGAGTGGAATAGAGTGAGAAATCAATGGAAAGACGCAATACGCGAATTGGAATGTGCGTAAATAAAATTTACGCACAGATATGTGTACACACAATAGAGAGTGATTAATCGGAACACGAAAACGTTGAAGGAAAAACGGAGACCAGAAATTGGTAATTTTTGAGGAATTAATAATACTGTGTTTGGACTTGATTATGCGAATTGTTTGTTTATGGAAGATACCATTGGAAGTAATATTATTTACACTAGAGGTCCCCTAACTTTGAGTTGTGTTTCATTTTAGTTACTCAACGAGGCTCTTTAGGTTCATGTCTATTTTGTAATCGAGGCGGGCACAAGGTGCTTAACTCTAGGTGTTTCGGTCTAGGTTTCTTGTGATACAATTTCGAAATGGAATTGTAACTTCTCTTATGAGTTTAGACTAAAAAAAAAACTTGAGTGACTAAAATAAACTTTTCTCAAAGTCAGGTAACCATTAGTATATTTTACCGTTCAATACTTGTTGAAATTATGTAATAATCATGCTAAGAACAAGAATCACGAATTCTAAATTTGTAGATAAAATGCATACGTGTGTAAGATATTTTTGTTTACAAATATTACCAGCTAGATCTTCAAAAATAATCGATCATCAATTGGGCAAGTCAAAACAATTTGGAGAGGAAATGGGACTAGCCATTGTATACGAAATTATAAAGTCGGCTCATTACCGACTCTAACCCTAATTAGGGTTTACAACATTCTAGTCCACATACTTAAAATTACCACATTATAAATAATAAAATCTGTGAGGTGTACAACGGCCAAAGTGATCACTAACATATTGGTTTTAATCATAATATCATTGCAAACCATACATCTAACTCGTAAAATTCGCAATCAAATGAAAATCCACGTAATAAAATTATTCTAACAATACTCGAACCCTAGAACTCTTAAATTCATCTTATTTCAATTAAACACATACATATGTTGAAAATAAATATAGATTTCATTTATGAGATTTCCTTTAACTTAGCTATTAAAAATTTGAGTATAACTTCGACACGTTTTATATTCGACTAAAATTTTGATACTTCAAAATTCTAGTGATATGTCAAATTTTGATTGGAAGGAAAACCAATCGAATAGCGAGACGGATTCAAAATATTTGTACTCTCAATTTAATCACATTTGTTTTCGACAAACGTGTTATGCATGTTTGGCAAGGCTTGAAAACAAATTATTTTTTCTTTAAAACGTATTTTGAAAAACTTTTTTAAATAAAAAATAATTTTATCTTACTGATAAAATAAGTAAATTAATCATTTTTTTTTCATCAACAAAATAAATTCAACATTTTAAAACCTACTTTTTTCTGTCTAATCAAACACATCCAAACATGGTGTCCTTAGCTGCTTAATTTACTTCTTGACAAGAAGATATGAACATATGGACAAACAAGAAATCAGAAGCAAGTAAACCTATTTTTTAGTTTATTCTGTAAACCTTAAGCCTGATTTTGGATTCTTGGATTGAAGTGACAAAAAGAAAAAAGCATAAGAAAAGAAAACGCACCATCCGAATTTCTTTTCTTTTTAAATCAAAAGCTTTAGCCTTTTTGTCGATTCATAATAATGAAACAAATAATCGAGAATGAAAATTGATCGACCAAGCTTGCCATATCATGCCAAATCCATTTCCTCGTTACGGCGGAAAGAATGACAACTCGATAGTTACATCTATCATTAACCTTTTTTTTTTTATTTGAAATATTGTCAAATAAATACGAATTATCACGCCGATCTATCACATTTTGTTTTAATTCACTGTTTATATTTACTTATTTGTGTAAAAATTCCGTACAAGTCACGACAAAAAGGAAAAGTAGACTATAGTTTTCGCATTTCCACTACTGCACTGTCTGAGTATTATTTTATTTTGCTTAAATTTTACTTTTCTTGAAATGAATGATAGATAAGTAATCAAAACTTGAGGAATTTATAAAATATGTAGTTCAGTGATGCAGAGGACGGAAGTGAGGTAATCTCAGCTGAACTAGCAGTCGCAGTGTGAGGGTTCGATTACTGTCTCTTACAATGTATGGAATTTGACTATTT